ATTTCACCATAGGAATGCATTGCTAGATTCCTATTGGCTATTTCAATAGCCAATAGCAAACTAACTATTGCACCCGCCCTCTGCTGCAGTTCTCCATCAGGTCCCCACTAGTGATTGACAGCAGCAGAGGACGGGTACAATACCTAGTTTGCTATTGCAAATTGAAAAAGCCAATAGGAATGTAGCAATGCATTCCTATGGCCAAATTTTTTATTTTTAGAAAAAAATTTTGACGGCAGCAGAACAGCCGGCCATTAGAAAACTGTTGGGCGGAGATGGCTGTCATTGCTAGCTCTGCACAATCGTTTTCTATTTTTATTTTTCTACTTTTTTAACTATTTTTCTGTTCTGCTCGGTCCCACAGAGGGAGCGAGCAGAACAGCCGAACCGAATGCTGCTCAGCGCCATTCGGCTATTCACTCACTGCTGTTCAGTATCTATCAGAATAGACCGAACAGCAGCGAGTAGCCTGCCGGAGGTTCAGCTTAGCCGATCCAGATGTTGGATCGGCTGAGTCGAACTCCTTCTGCACTTCGCGTAGGCCGAACATGCTGTGCATGTTCGGCTGACCCGAAGCCATGCGAAGCCACCCGATGTACGGCTGATTTCAGCCGATATACGGCTGAAATCAGCCGTACCAGCCTGAAGTGAATAGCCGAACAGCGTTTGGCTCACTTCGCTTCAGGTCGGTCATTCACTTGGCTGCCTATTGCAGCTTAGTGAATAGACCCCTTAGTATTGTCTGCCTAATTTTAGGTGCTAGAGAGCTGCTGCCGAACTGTTGTTTGAGGCCCATTTTCAGCCAAAAGTGAACCCACCCACTGCTCAATCACACCGCCTCTCACCAATTCAGTTGTTTTCTCATGATTTGTAAAACAAATAACTCACCCCAAGTCCACAGAGTGGGTCTTTCGCTGGCACCACTTCTGGAGGACTGGTAATCCAGCACTGCAGATGTAACCACACCAACCACTGATGTCATCTCTACTGAGACTCCTCTTCTGGATCCTGAGAGGACTCTGCTGCTGGACAGCCAATAGAAAGTATCCAGGTCACACAGGCAGTAATGTGGACACCCAAAAAAGTCTCCCCCCCATCCTCCTGTACAAAGAAGAAGAGAGACGACTCGGGACTGGAATGTCCGATGACTGCAGGTTTGGGCAATAAGTTACGAGTAAAAGGGACATTTAGGTAGTTTATCCTACATCAGCGATTAGTTAGAGGAGTGGGGAGAGGGGGTGTGGGGACCCTGGAGTTCAGCTTTAAGTTATTTCATCATTCCCTAGTAAAACAAGTATTTTGTTTATGTATGCTGCTTTAAAAACTATAAGTTCCAAATTCACATGAGTTCCTGCCCATAATTGTATAGTATTTAGTCTGCCAAATCACTCTATATTACTATATTATAAACAATTACTATTTTGTTAGCCCACTGTTTTATCTCCTGTAGCGTCTTTGCAGCCACTTCTTGTCTACAAGCATGCACTCGAAAAATTGTTGCATAGCATTTCCGAGAGGGTAGTTACCCGAGGGTGACAACATTGGACCCCGACTCTGCAATGTATGTTGGCACGGCTGCTTCTGCAATGTATGTTGGCAAAGAAGTCAGAAATTAACGATATGCCCCATGTGTATCCACGGAAGTCACTTTATATGTAGCTTGCTTGTTTCTGTTATCTGTATTATATTTTATGTATACATTTGCAAATGATATTCCAAGCAGAGGGATAGTAATGTGATACAACTTTTTTAAGTAGTCCCTTACAACATAAGCACTCTGCTAATTGTCACTGTGACAGATCCCGTGTTCTTAGAAAACATTACAACTATGCTATCAATCACACATGTACAATTTATAATTTCTCCTGTCAAGACAAAACTTGTATACAATATATTTCCAGTCTTATTATGGTATCCCATGGGAGCTAGCAGATGAAGAAAAAAACTTTGTATGTTACAAGAAAGGTTCTCTTCAGATGTCATTTCAGAGTCATGAAATGTTATCAGGCTCTCAGATCTTTGGTACTACGTGACATTGACTTAATGTAAATGGCAGCAATTCACTGCCATAACAACTATGCCATCTACACTGAACTCCAGTTCATTGCCTTTACAAGGGGCTCTGGAATTACGGTGACAGATGTTTTTATAGTCATATTCTCATAACAGTTATATTTATCAAGAGATGGTTGAGTACTGTTTGTGATACTTTTTGTATTTGCAGTTACTTGTTAGCGGATGCTTCCAGGGGTCTACCTCATTTTTCCTGGTCCAAGCAGTACTAATACACAAAGGTTAAGGACTTGTTTCCACCAGCCCTGCGTTGATCGCACTGTCCCGTGCCCAGAACAAAAGGGATTGCATATACAAGGTCTCCTTGCGTTCTGGGGTGGGAGGGGGTGTGGCAGTGCAATCGGCCGCACAGGATCGCGTGGTAAACAACTCCCTGCCTTCCAGTGAGCTACCGATCGCAAAAAAAGCATGCATGCAAAATATAAGAATATAAAATATAAGAAAATCTGCAAGGGCAACAATCTATGAAGAGAAAAGACACACACACAGAGTGAAAAACATCAGATAAGGAGAAATGAAGTTGGGAGGGCAGGAGGAAGAGTCACAGAGGTGAGAATAGTCACCTCTGCATTCGCACAGTACCCCACAAATGTTAATCCATTAACTAAGGTCTATATGAAATTGTATGTACATGGGTGGAAAATTGGCTGCAAGCACAGACCCAAGGGTATTAATCAATTGGTAATTCGCTATTTGGGCAAGGGTTGGGAATGAGGTGCCCCAGGGTTCAGTCCTGGGACCGATCCTGTTCATCTTATTCATCCATGATATAGAGATTGGACTAAATAGCTCAATTTCTGTTTTTGCGGATGATACTAAACTCTGCAGAGCAGTAAATCCCGAATAGGAGATATTTGCACTACAATAGGACCTAAGTAAAATTGAGGAATGGGCTACAAGAAGGCAAATGCAATTTAATGTTGAATTACTTGCAATACTTCCACTTTATAAATCATTAGTTCGGCCTCATCATGAGTATGCAGTACAGTTCTTTCAGGAGGGATGTCCTGGAACTGGAGAGAATTCAGAGAAAGGCTACAAAAGTAATTAAAGGGATTGAAGGCCTGAGTTATGAAGACTGCATTCAAAATCTTAACTTATTCACCTTGGAAAAGAGGTGGTTGAGTGGGGACCTTATTGCAGTCTTCAAAATCATCAATGGGGACCACAATATTAGGAACAAACTGTTTAATACCAAAACTGTATTGAGAACCCGGAGACAGAACAAGAGGTTAGAAGAGAGAGGGTTCAATCGTACAATTTGTAGGGGGTATCTACTGTGAGAGTAGTGAAAGTTTGGAACTCACTACCACAGGCGGTGGTATCTGCTGATAACATTGATAAATTCAAGAAACTTCTGGATGAGTTTCTTCTTTCGCAGAATCTACAGGAATATGGGAAGTGTTAGACCAAGATAAACACACTCACATACATAGGTTGAACTGGGTGGACCTTGGTCTTTATTTAACCTTCTATACTATGTTACTATGAGAATCAGGCCCGGCGCTACCGCAAGGCAAGTCAGGGGGCCGCCTGAGGGCACTGCAGGGTGAGGGCGGAAAAAACAGCATTTTGACAAGTACTTGTACTTGTCAAAATGCTCCGATGTTTGCGCTATGTTTATTTATTTTTTTCACTTACCTTCGGTGCGGGAGATCAGCGGCGAGTCAGCATAGCATTTTAGAAAGCTAAAGTCCACATTCAGTCCTTTCTTTTATGGTTTGTCCATGTAGATTTATGCATTTTTGTAATTTCTGTCCTGTTTTACCAATGTAACATCCCTGGTTGCACTTGTTACACTGTTACATTACAGGAGGCCCAGTTGTATGATCCACTAATACTGAAAGTTTTAGTGGAGTAATGTAATGGATTGATGTAGCTTCACAGTTTGCAAAGTTTGTTGTTGCAAGGTTTTGCACACTTATTTGTGTCTCTAAAGTCAGAATGAAATTTTCTGTTGATTAATATCTGTCTGAGGTTGGGTGATTGCCTGAGGCCAGCATTGGGGGTTGTTTCTTGGTTCATTGAAGGGTGAAATGTATTAAATGAAATAATAATATTAAGTAATAAGGAACATGGAGAATCTCAGGAACGAGGAAAGATTAACTGAACTGAAATAATTTTTCCTTGAGAAGAGGTGATTAAGGAGGATATGATCACCTTATGTATGAATATATAAATAGCCTAAAGAGTAGTTTTTGTGTAAAGTTGTTCACTTTAAGGTGTTTGTAAAAGACAAACTTCTAGTGCCTGGAGGAAAAGAGGTTTAACTTCTGCATGTGGAAAGGGTTCTCTACAGAAAGAACTGTGATAAAGTGGAATAGTCTTCAACAATAGTCTTATTTTTGTCTTTTTGTTAAACTCATTAGATGTGTCTTTTTTATCAATCGAACTTTATAATTATATTAAAACAAATCAGAGCACATGGAACAAATTGATGTTTTCATTCATCACATGATCTCAATAATTCTCTCTTACCTGTAGCTCTGATTCCAGACTGTATTTACGCGGCTGCTGTCTAAGTTCTTCTGTCGGTGACCAGGCCCTCCCATCACACCTGCAGGCAGAGGGCAAACTAATGTCACTCATTATCAATCACACTCAGTGGAATCAAAACAAAGGTAAATAAGATCATTCCTGGCAAACAACAATGTAGTGAAGGAATAACAGTAGTTCTCATCATGCTTACTCATTATTGATTACATCAACAGTGCAGTCTGTAAGTAAAATATCTATTTGTCTATTGTACTTCTAAACACCTGTGTAAACTCTCCTTACAATTACAGGCCAGAAATAAATAGATAAAAAAACAGTATTTCTACTTGAGACCTTTCTTGATTTGGAAAGCAAAGAGCTAGCTGGCATCATGTATGGCTCAATCAACCGTATTTACTTAGCTTAGATAACTAGTAAAGTGCAAGTACTTTGTGGTACGTGCTAATACCTGCAATTGTCCTCATATCAATACCTGCAGGGTCCCCAGCTTTACACGGAGCCTCAATGTCTCCTAACCTCCATTCCCAGCTGACTCTATGCTCTGCCCCTGTCATTTAACTATCAAATTCTAGATCCTCTACTGGCTACAGACTGCTTATGTCTAGGCTTCCAATATTTGCACTTTAGTCTGGCACTGTGCATTTATGCCATTAATAAATGGCTTAGTATGACATATCGTCTGTAACTGATTTCAGACATTTTTTGGAGCACTTTACAGAGAAGACTGAGCTTTTAATACCAGTCCCCAAACTGCAAGAAGCTTGGACTTGGAAATGTCCCTAGGACACATAAATACACACACAAATAACGCAGTTTTAATTTTCTGTAATTTTTCCTAATTAGAGTAAAAAATACAAACCCCAGTGGTGATTAAATACCACCAAAAGAAAGCTCTATCTGTCCCCAAAAAATGGTATAAAATTCATTTCAGTACAGCGTTGCACGACGGAATAAAGGTCAGTCAAAGTACCGCAGAGCTGAACACTGAAACATGGCCTGGACAGGAAGGGGGTCTAAACACCTGGTCTTGAACATTTATTATTACCCAGTTTTTTGGTAAAATATAAAAGACGGGGTCACGTCGGGAGAATAGACACCAAACAAGTCAAGCTTTAAAATTGCGCGCACCCGCGAAATAGCAGAAAACTACCATACCCAAAATTGGCCATAGGCGACACTTTAAAAGCTTTTACCGCTTATCAGTTTAGTGTTATCAGTGATTGATGGCCCTAGAATTATTGCTCTCACTCCGACGTTCGCGGCGATATGTAACATTTGCGGCGTAATGGGCGCAATCGTCTTTTTTGCACGTATGCGCCACACGACACATGTGTGCATGAAATATGTATGGGTGGGGACTTTAAAAAATGATTTTTTTTTTAAATTATTTTTTATGCATAACTTTAAATTTTTTGGGGGGGACTTACATTTTTTTTCCTTTTTTTTCACTAAATTTATTGCTATCACATACAGGGTCTAATAAAACCCCCCTATGTGATAGCAAAATATGTGACAGGTCCTCTTTATGGAGACATCAGGGGTCTCCAAGACCCCTAATGTCACCTAGGACCCCCCAAAAGAAGCTGATGCTTGCATAGGAGAGGGGACCGGAGGGAGCTCGTGTAATGAACTCCCTCTGATCACCTGTGACACAGGCGACATGCTGATCCAGGGCTCGCACCGGGCACAGCGGAGCCCGGGATCAGCGCAACAACGGCGGGGGGCACCGCGGAGGGGGGCACCGATCGTTAACCCATACAAGTGATCCGCCCGCTCTACAGCCGGCGGATCGCTTGTATGTTATGTTTTTCACAACGGCCGGCCCGGAGGCAGTTAAAGGAACGAGTGCTAGCCTCTTAGCCATCCTCTTGTCTTCGCTTTGTTGTTATTTAGCTCAGTACATTGGAGAAGGTGCTACTTCTTGCACCTATTACTAAATTACAGTGGAATGTCTAAGGGCCTGTTCACATGAGTTTCAGGTCCTGATCAGGTGCGGATCAGCAGACGCGGTGCTATGTGTTTTGCCGCGTTTTTGATGCGTTCCAGTAAAAAAAAAAAAAATGTTTTTTTTTGCTGGCGTAGGGCTGTCAGTATGTTAGCTGCAGTGCAGTGTGTTTTTGACACATTTTTGACGCGTTTTGCATTTCCGGACTGTTTCCTGACCGTACAAAATGTGACATGCAGTATTTTTCTGTCGTAACCTGAGCGGACTGCGCACGTGAGAACTGTAGCCCATAAAACACATAGGGATACATTGGGATGCATTTTTAGTGCAGGAGCATACGGATCAGGTCAGCACAGAAAACGGACGTCATGTGAAGAGGCCCTAAATGTCAAAAATTCAGCAGCAGCCGAGTGAATAACCGACCTGCAGTGAACTGAGTCGAATTCTGTTCGGCTATTCACTTCAGGCTTGTATGGCTGATTTCAACCGTATATCGGGCGGCTTCGTGTGGCTTCGGGTCGGCCAAACATGCTCAGCATGTTCGGCCGACCCAAAGTGCAGATGGAGTTCGAACCTCAGGCAGGCTACTCGCTGCTGTTTGGCCTATTCTCATAGATGCTGAACAGCAGTGAGTAAATAGCCGAATGCCTCTGTGGTACCGAGCAGAATAGAAAAGTAGTTAAAAAAGTAGAAAAAAAATAGAAAACAATTGTTTTCTATTGGCCGGGCGGTTCTGCTGCCGTAAAAAAAAAAAACACCATAGGAACGCATAGCTAGATTCCTATTGGCTGATGCTGTCAATCACCAGAGGGGGACCTGATGGAGAACTGCAGGTCCCCCTCTGCTGATTTAAAGCAGCAGTGGGCGGGTGCAATAGCTGGTTTGCTACTGGCTATTGCAAATTGAAATAGCCAATAGGAATCTAGCTATGCATTCCTATGGTGATTTTATTTTTTAAAATTTTTTTATTCTGACGGCAGCCAATGGGGTCACAGTCAGAATAGAAAAGTAGTTAAAAAAGTAGAAAAAAAATAGAAAACAATTGTTTTCTATTGGCCGGGCGGTTCTGCTGCCGTAAAAAAAAAAACACCATAGGAACGCATAGCTAGATTCCTATTGGCTGATGCTGTCAATCACCAGAGGGGGACCTGATGGAGAACTGCAGGTCCCCCTCTGCTGATTTAAAGCAGCAGTGGGCGGGTGCAATAGCTGGTTTGCTACTGGCTATTGCAAATTGAAATAGCCAATAGGAATCTAGCTATGCATTCCTATGGTGATTTTATTTTTTAAAATTTTTTTATTCTGACGGCAGCCAACGGCTCCGATGTCAGAAGAAAAAAAAAAACGAGCAGGGAAAGGTTTACTCTGCCCAATTGAGCAGAATGAACCTTTCAGGGAGAAACCAGGTAACCAGGAACACCATCTGTCATTACACACTGAGAACACGGAGAGGCCTCTGTGATATCATAGCGGACCGGCCGGGTTCTCAGTGTGTAATGACAGCGTCCCTGGTTACCTAGTAACCAGGGACGCTTATCTCTCTGAAAGTGGCCGGAGCCAGCCATTTGGCCAGCTTCGGCTTCCACTGCCGCTCAGTCGAGCTGAGGCATATGACTGAGCCGCTCGGGCAACTTCGGGAGCTGTACGGGCTATAGTGAATAGCCCGTACAGCAGCCCTTCGGTTCTACTGAACCGAAGGGGTCCTGGAGCGGAAGCTAGCCAAAGGATCAGCCGAAGCTAAGTGAATAGACCCCTTAGTGATTTTCTCTGAGGGAAAGAGAACAACATGACAAATCCTGTACCTCTTCTGTTTCGCATAAGAAAAACCTTATGAAATGGCCAGCTTTAGTTTCTCATGAAAGATCAATAACCCTATCCTCTTATTAAACATTATACAGGAGGTGTCTTGTGCCAAGACTGCAGTTCACAGCACCATAAAAAAAACTTTGAACACAGAGAAATTTGGGGTTGTATTATTACCGTAGTAATATCACCTTTTTTAACAGGGCCATCCAAAGAGCAGTGGTATTCAGTAACCCATAACAACCAATCAGATCATATATTAGATATCTTTAGAGTAGTGTAGAGAAGATGGTTTTGGATTGGTTGCTGTTTGTTCTATTCTTTTTATACTTTTTGTTTGTTTCTGCCCATGTTCACACATTGTTAGTGCACATGCCAGAATGAAAAACAACAGATATGTCACAGGAACCCATGTAAACCAATGAGTTTGTTCACATCTATGCGCTCTGTTATTTTAAGTTTTGGGAAATGATGCATATCCACCTTCATTTTCATGCGATTTGAGGGCACGTCCACACCACATGCGTTTGGTCTGTACTGGTCTTTTTATTCTAGGGCAGCTTGAATACAAGACAAGGCAAGTTGCCCTGTCTCGGGTGGGCACAGTTTATATCACCATATTGCGGTGGTGTGCACTTAAAAAAAAAATACAACATCAAGTTCACTCACTGCCGTTTGCCCCTATTCTCATTATGACTGCTGGAGGTGCCAGGATCGCATGGACCTCAGGAACAAGTCTGGTGTCTCTCCCAGGGAAGATCTCATGCATATCCTCTATGCAGCTGTTGCTCTTCTACACAGTGTCATCCTCTGGAGTCTATTTTTGCTATGGATTTCTGAAGCCCTATACCCTCTTTCCAAGTTTGGCTGTTCTTTAATAAAGCATGTAAAAAGTCCTTAAAGTGACTGGCCTCCCGCTAGTGTTCACATCCCACAACCCAGTTAAGTATTTACCCCTGAGAGTGAAATGTCAGCCCTGCCTACCTTTTGGGGTCCACCACAGGCCTCTGAGGTTCAGGGGGCAATACACAGAGGTGGGGGCAAGAGGGGGAGAAAAAAATCAAAAGTGGAGAAAAGGAAAGGAGAGGGTAGGCTCAAATATAAGAGTATAAAATCTAGAGTTCTCATATTAATTATCACCTCATGGACCCCCGGGAGACAAAGCTGTGGGAGTTACATCACCCCACTGGTCCTCTAATGTAAATCCCCTGGCGTCCACCCAGTCTGCCCATCAAACTTTCGTGGGCAGCTTCAGCTCATATAGGTAAATGTTTAGAACGGAAATATTCTGTCGATCACCCATAACCACTGGT